CGCGGCCGCCCTGCTGCACGACAAGGGCCTCCCGTGCGCCCCCGGGGCCCGGGGGCCCGATGACCAGCGGGCGGCGTGCCGGGGCCTCGCAGGGCCCCTTGGGGTCGGCGCGGGGGCTGCTAAGGGGATGGGGGGGCTATCAGTCGACGCCATCCTCCTCCTCCTCCTCTTCCTCCTCCTCCTCCTCTTCCTCCTCCTCCTCCTCCTGCTCCTCCTCATTCTCCTCCTCCTCCTCTTCTGCTCCTCATCCTCCTGCATGAACACAGACTTTCGGAGGCCCACGCGGATTTCTTGGATCGGCGCCAGGGTGGGTCATATCTGGCTGCGCCTGGCTCGTAGGCGAGTCACACATGCCCCAGGTGGCGTAGAGGGTTAGATCGCCCCTGTACTGTATCCCTGCAGCACTCCCCGCGTGTCCCTGTATGGGGTCATGCACACGCCTGAGACCCAGGGGCCCGAGGACCAGCGGGCGGCTCGCCAAGGCCTCTCAAGGCCCAGGACACGGCGCCGAGTTCCCCGTACCGCGCCCAGCCGACGCGGGGGGCTTTCCAGGGGGGACACCCACACGGAGGAGCCGAGGAGCCCGAGGCTGCCAAGCGGCCACACGGAAGCTGTGCGAAATCGGCCGTCTGCGAGGTCCAAGCCAGCAGTGATTCTGCTGCTGCTGCTGCCGCCGCTGCTGCCGACTTCGATGCTGCTGATGTTGATGCTGATGACGCTATTGCTGATGATGCTGCTGCTGATGATGCTGATGCTGATGCTGATGCTGATGCTGATGCTGATGCTTCTGATGATGCTGCTGATGATGCTGCTGCTGATGCTGATGTTGATGCTTCTGATGATGACGTTGGAGGTCTGATCTTAGAAACGCTCTGGCCAGAACTTCAAGAAAAGTCCGGCCGTGGCGACGCAGAGCCCTCTGGAATCCCAGACAGGGGGAACCGAGACCAAAGGCCGATCCTCTCGCCTCGGACCTCCGAGCGACGAGAGCCTGTGGCAAATGCTTATCAAGGGGCCCCAGGACACATACAAATAAATGCACACACACACATAAAAAGATTCCCCCCATATTTTCCCATAGTTTCTGGGTTTCTGTCTTCCCCCCACTTCCCATATTTTCCTACATTTTCTGGGGAATCGAAGATTAATTGTGTCTGTGTGTTTCTTTTCCTCCTGAGCTTAGCCCGATTCCGGAACCCTGAACTCAAACATGTTTTCGTCTCTTGGGGGCGCACCTTTTACTTCCGCCACCTTCCGCCGGCTTCCGCTGGCGGAGGCGGCCTTGTTTCACTTCCGCCGACCTTCCGCCGCCTTCCGCCGCGGAAGAGATGACACCTCCTTCGATCCTCGAAGGCAAGGCCCTCTCTGGAACGCCCCCATGTATGGTCGGAAATCTGGGCTTCTGTTCCCCTGGACCTCTGCTTCTGGGGTGCGTCCCGACCAGAACTTTGAGAAGGGAACCCGGCCGTGGCGCCGGGAAGGGCGGAGGACATAGAAAAAGCCCTCGACCCTCGAGTCCACACTCTCGAAGCTCTATTCTCGACGCGAGGTCGGTACATAACCATACAAGAAGCCCTCGATCCCCGAGTCTGGACTCCCGAAGCTCGATTCTCGACGCGAGGTCGGTGCGTACCTATCTGCTCCGAGGCAACTCAGGCCGTGCACGATTTTTTCCAGCGCGCGGACCCCCAGAATTCTGGACCCCTTCCAAGGTACCGGCTGCTCAGTTACCAGCCCCCCCCGGGCCCCGGGAGGAGGAAGGAGGAGGAGGAAGGAGAGGAGGAAGGAGAGGAGGAGGAGGAGGAGGAGGAGGAGGAGGAGGAGGAGGAGGAGGAGGAGGAGGAGGAGGAGGAGGAGGAGGGGAGGAGGAGGAGGAGGAGGAGGAGGAGGAGGAGGAGGAGGCCTGCTGGGGGCCTCCAGAAATCAAAAATAGTCAAACACCTTCCGTCGTGTTTTTCTCCGCGACCCGAGGGGGTCTTTGCGAGCCTCGAGCCCTTCGAGCGACAGCGCCCGCGGCGACTGCCTCTACCCGCAGCGAGCAGCGCGCCGCACCCTCGGGCCTGCGAGGACACGCAGGGCTCTCCGACCCAGACCCCCGACGCCACGATAAAACGACGCGAAGATCGGGACAAAATCGGATCGGGATAACTCGAAATCTCTGAGAATCGGCGGGTTTGGAGGATGTATTGGGCGCCGCGGCCGCTCCAGAGCGTTCCGGAACGCTCTGACAGCGCTCCGGAACGCTCTGGAGCCATTTATCCCGATCCTTGCCCTGTTTTGCACGAGTTTTCCATCACGTCGACCCCCGGAGGCCGGGACCCGTTCCCCGGGCCCGGCTTCTCACCCAGAGTTTCTTGTGACGGCCCTGTGCGGCCCGGCAAATCGGCGGCTCCAGAGGGTGCGGTTTGCAAAGGGTGTGGTTTGCACTCGGCACTCTGGGGGGCACCATGGGGGGCGGGCGGGTGCCTCGATGGAGTTCCCCGCCGCGCCCCGAGGCCCGACGAGGACAGTGTCGTGCCCTCCCGCAGGGCTCGACCTAAACGGTGTTTTGGCGATTTCGTGGGCCGTTTTCGTTTCGACTTCGTTTTGAGTGAAAGGCGGATTGAAGACAAAACGAGGGAAAACGAAAACAAAACGAAAACGAAAAACACCGTTTAGGTTCAGCCCTGCCCTCCCGGCCCCCACGGCGCCGATCGCAAACCGCACCCTGGCGTATAGCCGCACCCTTTGCAGTCGCCGAGGCAGGGGCCCCCGTGGGGCCGAACATAGCGACAAGCCCCCCGTCGTGATTTCTGTCGTGACTCGATGAAGGGGCCCAGGGACACAAATAAATACACACAAATAAAAATATCCCCCATATTTCCAATATTTTTGGGGTTTTCGTCTTCCCCCCCACTTCCCATATTTTCCAATATTTTCTGGGAATCGACGATTAATTGTGTCTGTGTGTTTCTTTCCCTCCTGACTCGAGTGCGTCTGATAACCTCGAACCTTCGAGCGACAGGGCACGCGGCGACTGCTCAACCTGCGGTGAGCAGCGCACTGCGCCCTCAGGCCTGTGAGGCCTCGGGGCCCTCCGGCTGAGCAGACCTGGTATCGGTGCTTTTGCTACTCCCCGGACCTCTCCAGGGGTGCGTTCTGGCCAGAATTTCGAAGCGAATCCAGCGGTGGCGACGAGGGCCTCCCAGGCGGCCTAACAAGGCGAAGACGAGGGACTGGTAGCAGTGTGGGCGCCATTTCCTCCTCCGAAGACCACAACGTCATTTTTTCGATGCGTGGGCCCCGGAGGTCTGGACCACTTCCCCAGGACCGGTTTTTCCTTCTGAATCGTTCCTTGGAGGTAATGGAAAGAGCGAGGCCCGAGTGATGAGCGCTCTGGCGGGGCGAAGCCCTCTAGGGAGGAGTGCCTAGGAGGGGGAGGAGCGCGCACCCCGGGTCTAGTGGCCAGCTCTCCTCGTGTTTTTTCGAGTGAAGCGGCTCCCGGGCGGCTCCCACGGCCCGTTTCTCTGTATTTTGTTCGAGTGGCGCGGCTTGAGGGCTCCAAGACGGCCCAGCAGGAGGGCCCCCAAAACAGCCCCACAGGGCCCCAAGACGACCCCAAGAGAGCCTCAGATGGCCTCCAGACGGCTCCAAAGGCTCTCCAGAGGCTCCCGAGACGGCCCCCAGGGGCAAAACACATGAATTGTTTAATGTTTTGTTTTGTAATTTTTTGGGGTTCTTGCTTTTTCTGGTCCAGGACGGTCCAAAACGGCCCAAGAGGCTCCAAAGATCGTCCCAAGACGGCCCCAAGAGGGCCCAAAAACACTCCAAGAGGGTCCCAAGACAGCCCCAGAGGAGCCCCAAACGGTCCAAAAGGGCTCCAAGACGGCCCCACGAGAGCCCCAAGAGGGCCCAAAGAGGCTATCAAAAGGGCTCCAAGAGGCCCCCGATGGAGCCCCAAGACGGCCAATGGCCTCCAAGACGCCCAAGACGGCCCAAAAGGGCCCCAATACGGCCAAATGTGCCCCAAAAGGCCTCCCCGAGGGCTCCAAAAGGGCACCCAAGAAGACCCCGACGAGGCCTAAGAGACATTCAATAACACCATAGCTCCCATCAGCGAGCGGCGACGTGACAAGCTCTTGACACCAAGGCTCCCCAGAGCGCGGTGACGTAAAGAGCTCGTCGCACAAAGGCTCCCAAGAGCGAGCAGCAACGTGACAGTCTCTGAACACCAGGGCTCCCAACGGAGAGCGGCGACGTAACAAGCTCTTCACACCAAGGCTCCCAAGCGCGAAGGTGACGTAAAAAGCTGCTCACGCCAAAGCTCCGAAGAGCAAGCGGCAACGTAAGCATCTCTGATCACCAGGGCTCCCAACAGAGAGTGGTGACGTAACAAGCTCTTCCCACCAAGGCTCCCGAGAGCGAACGGTGACGTGACAAACTCGTGCACGCCAAGGCTCCCAAGAACGAACGGTGACGTAAACAACTCTCAACACCGAGGTTCCCAAGAGCGACAGCAACGCAGAAGTCTCTGAACACCAAGGCTCCCAAGAGCGAGCGGTGACGTGACAGGCTCTTGCCACCAAGGCTCCCAAGGGCGAAGGGTGCCGCGAGCCCTCTCGGGTGAATTCCTGGCCCGCCCTTTCCGCTTCCGTGCCAGCCCAGGTCCGGTGGCCCGGCGAGGGCCCCCAGAGGCTGGAGGAGGAGGAGGAGGAGGAGGAGGAGGAGGAGGAGGAGGAGGAGGAGGAGGAATAGGATCGCAATATAAAGAAGATAAAGAAGTCAGACCCCCGACGTAATTATTTTCTCATCACGTCGACCCCCCGAGGTCCCGACCCTTTCCCCATGACCGGCTTTGCATCCCGAGTCGCTCTTTGACGCTCCCGAGGTCCGGCGAGGGCCCCCCGAGGCCGAACATGGCCACACACCTCCCGTCCTGAATTTTCTACGACGCGAGCATGCCTGGGCCTATTTTTGGTTGGAGCGCCGCATCTCTGGGGGCCATGGCGTGGTTCTTCAGCTCAGCCCGCGGTGAGCAGCGCGTACCCGCCGAGCACCAGCGCCGCGGCCGCGAGGCCCGCGGGGCCCGGCGGCCCCCTGCCGGCGAGGGCGTCCGCCGCCGCGGCCAGGGGCACCGTGAGCGACAGCCCCGCGGTGGCGGCCACGGGCCCGACGTTCCGGGGGGGGGCCCCGTCGAGAGGCCCCAGTCTTCCCCGCGATCCCGGCATCTCAATTTCTTCGAGCCGGGCGTTTTCTCGCACATCGCGTTTCCGAGGGGGGGGCCCCGTCGAGAGGCCCTGGCCTTCCCTGCGATCCTGGCGTCTCCCTGACCTTCCAGAGAGCTCTTTTTTAGCACGGTAGGCCTAGAAACCTGAAAAACGAAACAAAACAGCCTAAAACCAACACGTAGAATAGCTCTGGGATAGGTTTTTAAGTCGCGTGCTATTTTTTAGCCCTCCTGGAAGGTCAGGGCTCAATTTCTTCGAGCGGGGCGTTTTCTCGCACCTCGCGTTTCCGAGGGGGGAGCCCCGTCGAGACCTTACCATCGCTCGGACGTCCTTTTCCCGTGCATGTTTCGGATTCGTGCGTGGCTTTGCGTGGTTTTTTTCGCAGGATGATCCAGGATGCTCCTCAAGGATCCCCGCCGAACAAAAAAAGCGCACGTCCGAGCGATGCCAAGAGACACCCTGGCCTTCTCCGCGATCCTGGCATCTCAATGTTTTCGAGGCGGGCGTTTTCGCGCCTTTTTTCGGGCCCCGGGGACCCTCTCGGATCGATCGGGCTCGAAAACTGATGCAGAAAGGTGGGGTCTAGGACTCCAGGCGCGATTTCTGTGCGGTGCTGTATTTTTTTCGCGACGTCGGATCCCGGGGAGCTCCGACGATCTGATTTGCTCAATCTGGGTGTCTTCGATTTCGGCCACCTGGGGCCCGCTATCGAGCCCTGGGGCCATCAGAAACGGATGCGGGACGAAAAAGTACACCCAGGGAAGGGGTCTGGACCTCTGGGGCCGCGTCGGGGTGTCTCTGCGGGGGGGCGCCCCGTCGAGACACCACGACCTTGGTCAGGCGGGTGGTAATTAAAGGGGCCCCAGGACACACAAATAAATACACACAAATAACAATATTCCCTGTATTTTCAAATATTTTCTGGGTTTCTGTCTTCCCCCCCACTTCCCATATTTTCCCATATTTTCTGAGGAATCGAAGATTAATTGTGTCTGTGTGTTTTTTGTTCCTCTCCTGAGTAATGGGGGGTGACCCGGATGAGCGACGATCACAAACGGGTCTTCGTTTTCGGCCTCGGGGGGTGCTCGCCAGACCCGGGGACCGCTCTAAGACGACACAAGACTAAAAGCCGCCCTTGGTGCAAGGGTCGGGACTTGTGGGAGCTCCGACGATATGGCTTGTTCAATCTGGGCGTTCTTGATTTCGGTCACTGGGGCCTGTTGTCGAGCCCCGGGGTCATCAGAAACGGATGCGGGGCGAAAAAACTATACCCAGGGAAGGGGTCTGGACCTCAGGGGCCTTAGGAGGTTCGAGGTTTGAGTTTTTCAAGCGTTTTCGTTGGTTCCCCGCGGTTTCTCCAGCCTCGGGATGCTTTACGGCAGCTGCACCACGTCGAGAGCGTTCCAGGCGTGCCTGGATTGTCCAGAGCGGCTGTTGGAGACCCGAGCTATGGCCCGAAAGCCACCAGCGCCCCAGCGTCGCCACTTTCTCACACCTGGGCCCAGTCGAGGCACCCCGACCTTGGGCCAACATTTTTCGAAGGGGAAGGGAGGGGGGAGGGGGGAGGTGGACGAGGAGAATGAGGGAGGAGGAGGAGGAGGAGGAGGAGGAGGAGTAGGAGGAGGAGGAGGAGGAGGAGGAGGAGGAGGAGGAGGAGGAAGGGGGAGGAGAAGGAGGAGGAGGAGGGAGGAAGGAGGAGGAGGAGGAGGAGGAGGAGGAGGAGGAGGAGGAGGAGGAGGAGGAGGAGGAGAAGGAGGAGGGGGAGGGGGAGGACGAGGAGGAGGGAGGTGGGAGGAGGGAGGGGGGAGGAGGGAGGTCTCGACACTGGGCGGAATGGGGGCGGGACGGGGGGAGGGGCTGGCTCTGGCGCGTCCTACGGGGGAGCCTCCGCCTGCTCGAAACAGGCGCCCAAAAACAACCAAGAGCTACTCCATGGGTCTCGCCATTGCTCGGACGTCCATTTTTTGTATTTTTTTCGGTTTCGTGCGTGGTCTTTTCGCCAAATGGTCAAGGACGTTCCTCGATGGCCCTCGCCGAAGGAAAAATGCACACGTCCGAGCGATGCCAAGGGGTGGGGGGAGGGGGAGGGCGGGGGTGCCAGGGCCGCGCCGATCGGCAAAGCAGTGAATCAGAAAACGATCGCCGGGGCTGATGCGAGCAGCGTTCGGGTGCTGCTAGAAGTGCCCCTGGCCCAAGGCACCCCCAGCGCTTCGCTCGATCCTGCAGCCCCTGGGGCCCTCTGAGCCTCGTGATGGGGTGCTCTGGAGGCCGTGGGGGCCTCGCTCGAAATCCTGGGGGCACCTCGGGCCAGGGGCACTTCCAGCAACACCCGCAACGCGTTGGCTCTCAGCGGCGGCGCGCGCGGGCGCAGCAGGCGGCAGGGGCATCGTGTGGCGAGCCGGCGGGGTTTCGGGGCCAAGCTCGTGCTGGACTGTCGCGCGCCGGAGGGCAGAAGACCCGGAGGCTCCGACGAAGGGAAACAAAAAAATGGCGACGTCTCGAACAAGCGCGACCGGAGTTCAGTCGGGCACGTCCCTCGACAGGAGGAATTGTCGCAAAGCAGTCAAAACATGGCCTGGCAACGATGTTGGCGTCCTCTCTGGACTGTGTCTGATGATTCTCCAAGTGGGCTTGCCCTGTAGGAGTCCTGGATCATAAGGAATTGGTCTTTAGGACGCCCCCCTTTTTCCAGTGCCCCCCCCTTTTCCAATGCCCCCCCTTTTTCCAATGGCACTTGCTTGCTTGCTCTTGCGTGCTGGCTATCGCTTGCTTGCTCTTGCTTGCCTTTGCTTGCTTGCACTTGATTGCTGGCTCTTGCTCACTTTTTACTGCTCGCTTGCCCTTGCTTGCTTCCGCTGGCTTGATTTTGCTCCTCCCGTCCTGCTCCCGTCCTCCTTTCGTCCTCCTGCCATCCTCCTCTCGTCCTCTTCCTGACCTCCTATCTATTTGGAGTCAACGCTGGCTGATATTGTTTTGGCTATTCTTGTTTTTCTTCCAAAATCCGCCTGTACAGGAGGACATGCCCGACCTAAGACCAGAGCCCCAGTCCTAATTTTTCTGCTCTGTTTTTCGAGCCGGGCCGATCTGTGAAGGTCCTGGGGCCCTGAACAAGGCGAAAACGCAGGGCTCGACCCAATTGGGATGCGGTGGCGGCCCGGGGTCGGAAGTTCCCTGAGACCCTCGCGTCGCAATTGTTGGGCACCCGGAGATTCCGCCGTATTTTTCGGCCCTGGGGACCCTCGCGGATCGATCCGGCTTGAAGAATGCGGCAGAACGATGGGGTCTAGGCATCCTGTCGTGATTTGCTATGGCGCTGTCTATTTTCCGTGACGTCGGACATCTCGGGGCTCTAGGTTTTCGATGATTCTCGCTGGTTCTCTCTGGTTTTCCTGCCTCGGGATGCTGCCCAGCAGACGTGCCTCGCCGAAAGAAAAGGTTCTGGTGATGCCCGGATCGTCCAGAACGGCCGCCAGAGACTCGAGTTATAGAACCCGATAGCCACCTTCTCTCGTCGCGACAACATCGCGACGGACGGTCTTTGCTGGTTTCCGGCCTCCGGGAGCCTTTGCTGGGCCTCGGGGCAGCCACAGAGGGCTTGGGATCAGAAGCTGGTCCTGGGGAGCGAGTCCAAACCTCTGGGGGTCCACGGTGCGAAGCGGATCACGCCGTCCCGGTGCTTGTGCTTTCGCTCTCGCTCCTGGGGCTCCTTGAGGCTTCTCATCGCCAGGCCGCGCCCGCCTCGGCAAACGGGCCAGGCTGGATCCCGGGAGCGGCCCGGGGACCGGTCTTGCTCGGAGCTGCGCCGGGCGAGAGAGCCGCTGTGGTCTCCCCAGGCCCCCGAGGTCATGATCGTTTCGTACGGTGGGGGGAGTGGCCATGGAACCCATAGATAAGGAATCCAGGGTCCGAAAGCTGGCGGAACTCGAAGCGTGGATCGGCTAGGGATATCATCGCCGCCCTCATCAGGTAAGGAACCCTCCAGGGTCTAAAGCCTCCCGGGCACATTCCTTCACGAACGCCCCCACCGTAACGTCGACCCCCGTAGGTCTGGACCCATTCCTCAGGTATGGTGTCTCATCCTGAGCCTTTTCTTGACGGTCCCGAGGGCCGGTGAGGGCCCCGAGGGGCCGAAAATATCCAAACACCTCCCGTCGTGATTTTTTCATGACTCGAGGGGGTCTGGGTCAACTGGCCCCCCTCCGACATGTACAAGACCGCCTTGGCCCACAGGAAGTCGGAGAGGACGTTGTCCAGCAGCCCCTGACTGCCATGGAGGAGGAGGAAGAGGTGGAGGAGGAGGAGGAGGAGGAGGAGGAGGAGGAGGAGGAGGAGGAGGAGGAGGAGGAGGAGGAGGAGCAGGAGCAGGAGCTAGAGGAGGAGGAGGAGGAGGAGGAGGAGGAGGAGGAGGAGAAGGAGGAGGAGCAGGAGGAGGAGGAGGAGGACGCGGAGGAGGAGGAGGAGGACGAGGAGGACGAGGAGGAGGAGGAGGAGGAGGAGGACGAGGAGGAGGGGGCCAGGGGGAGAGAGGCGGGCCCCAGAGCCGCAGGGCCCCTCCCCAGGGCCGCCAGCTCTTCCTCCCGAGCCGTTCCGTTGACAGTCCTGGAGCCCAAGGAGGGACCATGGATGTTTTTGTTTGTTGTTTGTTTTGGCGGCGCGCACAAGGGGGTGGAGGGATGGGGGGAGGGCTTCCTCCCGAGCCGTTTCGTTGACAGTCCTGGAGCCCAAGGAGGGGCCATGCATGTTTTGTTTGTTGCTTGTTTTGGCGGCGAAGGCCGCCTGAGGCCTTGCCCGCCTGTGCCCTGTCTCCCCGATTAGAGCTGTGCGTCGCCCGCCTAGCCTTTAGCGGAAGAGGTTCGCTCTCGCCCCGCCGACCAAAAAAGTGTTGGCGGCGCGCAAATGGGGGTGGAGGGATGGGGGGAGGGCTTCTTAGAAGGAGGCTGCCTCTTAGAAGGCGCCGGCCTCAACTCTATTAGATAAGGCCCGCGCCTTCTAAGAAGCAGGGGTGCTTCTAAGAAGCCCTCCCCTCTCCCCCCCCACCCCCCTCTGCGCGTGACTCATTGTTTTTGTTTTGTTCTTCCCCCAGGTTCACAAATCCCCTGGTCCGAAGTCAGACGGAACATCGTATGCCTGAGGTGATCCAGACACTTCCTGGAGGTCAGCCTGGAGTCACAGCTGGTTCTTTTCCCCAAATACGTAGGCTCGCGCAAGGGTTTTTTACTTGGTTCAAGGTTGGTGCCTAGGGGGGCTACTTTGCCCATTCATCGGAGGTTTCCCGGGTTCCCCTGGTTCCCGGGGTTCTCGGGTTCCCCCGGTTCCCAAAATTTCTTGGGTTCCTCGGGTTCCTTGGGCTCCTCGGGTTACCCGGGGTTCCTTGGTTTCCGTGGTTTCCCCGGCAATGCCAAGAAATGCTGGGTTCCACGGGTTCCTCGGCAATGCCAAGCAATGCCAAGCAATGCGAAGCAATGCCAAACCATGTGAAGCAATGCGAAGCAATGCCAAGTAATGGCAAGCAATGCCAAGTAATGCCACGCAATGCCAAATGCCAAGCAATGCCAAACACTGCGCCCATACAATAGGAATATTTCCCCTAATTGGGGTCGCGCCGGGTTCATGTCTTTTTTTTCCGCCCCCCACGTGAGCAGCACCTCTGGTCCGAAGTCAGACGGACAATTATATGCCTGAGGTGATCCAGACATTTGCTGGAGGTCAGCCTGGAGCCATGACTAGAGGCCTCCCAGATGGGGACGGAGTAGGTGGGGTCGGTCGGAGGATCGCACCGCATCCCCGACACATCGGCGACACATCGCCGATGCATCGGCGATGCACCGGCGACATCGGCGATGCATCGGCGACGTGGGCGTGGAGAACATCGGGCTCCCGGGGGCCCGATGACGGGCCCTGGGGGTCGAAACCGAGAAGCAGCGCGCGGACTGGAACAGAACACGAACAAGACATCGTCAGAGGTCTGGGTGTGCTCCAGGGCGGCCTTGAGCACCAGACGCCCCTGCCTCTCCCCCCCTCTCTCCCCTGCCCCCCCCAGCCCCTCTCCTCCTCCTGATCCTCCTCCTCCTCCTCCTTCTCCTCCTCCTCCGCCTTCCCCTCTGCCGCTTTTTCTTCTTCGATCATCCTCCGCCGCCGCCTCTTCACCCTCCAGGGCCAGGCGGCCCTGCCAGGTTGATCTAGACAGCCAAGTGGTTTAAGATGATCCGAGGTTGGGGGGGGAGATCGAAGTGGAACGGAGAGCCCCCCCCCGGGAAATCGGTTTCTGTTTCGTGTTCGTGCGTGCGGGCGAGGCGAAGCTGCGTGGGCGGGCGAGAGGAAAGTCTCCTGTGGCTGAGGCGCGGCCGGACCAAATGATTCTCCCTCCAGTAAGCGGTGGCCCGCGGTGTCCCGCCGGTGTCCCGCTGGTGTCCCGCTTGTGGCTGGGTCCAGGCCGGACCAAATGATTCTCCCTCCAGCAAGCGGTGGCCCGCGGTGTCCCGCCTGTGGCCCGCCGGTGTCCCGCCGTTGTCCCGGTGTCCCGCTGGTGCGAAAACGATCGTGAGACCGATGACGAAATCGATTGTGAGATCGATAGTGAGATCGATCGTGAGACCGATAGTGAGATCGATCGTGAGATCGATAGTGAGATCGATAGTGAGACGAATAGTGATATCGATTGTGAGATCGAGTGATATCGATAGGGAGATCGATAGTGGGATCGATAGCGAGATCCAGAGTGAGATCGACAGTGAAATCGATCGAGTGAGAGCGATAGTGAGATCGATCGAGTGAGATCGATAGTGGGATCGATGGTCCCAAGGGCGAGCGGCAACGCAACAATCACCACTGCTGCCCATTGCTGGCCCCCCTCCCCCCCAAACCTTCTTATCACCCGCAGGGTGGTCGTATAGGTACCCGAGAACAAAGAAAACCCAATCATAGTCTTTTTCCCAACCATCCTGTGGTGTTGGGCCCTCGTTTCGAAGAGACAGCGCCCCGCGTTCCTCACCCCTCCCTCCCTCCTCCCCCTCCTCCCTCCCCCCTGCGTTTCACCCACCGAGTGCTACGTTTCGTGGCCCCATAGGGAGCTCCACCGAAGGCGCCAGTGCCACCGTCCGCATGCGTCCCGACACATCCAATTTGGTATTTTCACCCACCCAATACAACGGTTCGTGGCCCCACAGGGAGCTCCACCGAAGGCCCCAGTGCCACCGTCCGCATGCGCCCCGAAACATCCAGTTTCGCATTTTCACACACCCAGTGCAGCGCTTCGTGGCCCCATAGGGAGCTCCACCGAAGGCCCCAGTGCCACCGTCCGCACGCACCCCAGAACATCCATTTTTGCATTTCCACCCACCCAGCACAGCGCTTCATGGCCTCATAGGGAGCTCCACCGAAGGCCCCAATGCCACTGTCCGCATGCGTCCCGCAACATCCGATTTGGCACTTTGACTTACCCAGTACAGCGTTTCGTGGCCCCATAGGGAGCTCCACCGAAGGCGCCAGTGCCACAGTCCGCATGCGCCCCGAAACATCGATTTTGGCATTTTGCACCCGCCCAGTACAGAGTTTCGTGGCCCCATAGGGAGCTCCACCGAAGGCCCCAATGCCACCGTCTGCATGCGTCCCGAAACATCCAATTTGGGATTTTCACTCACCCAATACAACGGTTCGTGGCCCCATAGGGAGCTCCACCGAAGGCCCCAGTGCCACCGTCCGCATGCGCTCCGAAACATCCAATTTGGCATTTTGACCCACCCAATACATCGTTTCGGGGCCCCACAGGGAGCTCCACCGAAGGCCCCAGTGCCACCGTCCGCATGCGTCCCGAAACATCGATTTTGGCATTTTCACCCACCCAGTACAGCGTTTCGTGGCCCCACAGGGAGCTCCACCGAAGGCCCCAGTGCCACCGTCCGCATGCGCCCCGAAACATCTAATTTGGCATTTTGACCCACCCAATATAACGTTTCGGGGCCCCGTAGGGACCTCCACCGAAGGCGCCAGTGCCACTGTCTGCATGCGCCCCGAAACGTCCAATTTGGTGTTTTCACCCACCCAATACAACGTTTCGTGGCCCCATAGGGAGCTCCACTGATGCCACCAGTGGGACCGCCCGCGTGCGTCCCACATACCCATTTGGCATTTTCACCCCAGTACAGCGCTTCGTGACCCCATAGGAAGCTTCATCGACGGCCCCAGTGCTACTGCCCGCATGCGTTCCCCCCACCCAGTGCGGCGCTTCGTGGCCCCAGAGGGTGCTTCACCGAAGAAGATATTCACACTTGTGGCACCCACAACTGCATATGGTTGGGTACTTCGCCAGGATAATTCGGGCTATAGGGCTATGGGACTATAGGGCTATAGTGCTAAAAGGCTATCGGGCTATAGGGCACCTGGCACCCGGGCACCTGGGCACTCGGGCACCCGGACGTGCCGCCGAAATCGGCGCCGTACCTCACCCAACCATTTGAATCCTATAGAGGCAAGCTCGGATGGGGAAATCAAGCGTGAAAAGGAACATCCTGCGCCTCCTCCTCCTCGCCAGCTTGCTCCACGGCGGCCTTGAGCACCAGCAGCCCCAGCACGCGGCCCGTCAGCCCGCCCAGGTCCTCCCAGGCGCACAGGAGGCCCAACAGCACGGCCGGCGCGGCGACCGTGGCCGTGAGGAGCCCCAGGCCAGCGAAGACCGGCCACGCGCGAGGAGTGACCCCACTGGGATCGGCGCAGGCTTCTGCCGCCGTCGCAGGCGCTCCCAGAGATCCGACGCTCTCAGAAAATGTGAGCGGCGCGCTTCGTGGCCGTTCTCGGCCAATGGGAACCCTCGCCGGGCCTCGGGAGCGTCACAAGGGACCCAGGCCGAACAACTGGGGTCTTAGGGAAGGGTTCTAGGCCTCCGGGGCCCACTGGGTTGCTAAGATTAACGGGCGAAGAACGGTATAAAATAAACTTTTTCTCTGTCGGGGGCGCCTGTCCCAAGGCGGCTGGAAAGTTTATACCCTTACGGTGCCCCCGACAGCGAGAAAGTTTATCTTATACCGTTCTTCGCTCGCTGATAAAGAGGATGGGGGGATGAGGCTCGAGGTTCGAAGTTTTCGGGCGGTTTCTTTGGTTCTCGGCGGTTTCCCAGCCTCGGGAAGCATGCCAGCTGCCGCGCCTCGCCGGAGGCGCTCTGGGGGTGCCCGGACTATCCAGACGAGCCACCGCAGAGGAGAGTTATGGTCTGGCAGACCACTGGGCTCGGCTCGGGAGTTGCTACGGGGATATGGGGGCTATCAGTGGATGTGAGGGTGGATAAAATCTGGCCTAGCCTGGCTTACACGTGGGGTGCGGGGGCCCCAAGAGGCTCAGGGTGTTTAACGACCTGGGCGAAACGGGGTCCGCCCGCTTAGCGGAGCCATCTAACTCCCAGCCACTAGGGGCACGTGCAACCCACTCATAAGCGAGGGCAGGTCAGATAGAACCGACCTTGGCATCCACAGATCACTCCCCTATCCCCTCAGCAACCCCCGCGCCGATCCCAGTAGGCAAGAGTGACATCCGCAGACCCCTTCGGGTTGCTGAACAAATCGCGAGGGATGCTTCTTTTTTGCTTGGTTTCTTTTTACTTCCGTTCTCGTTTTCGGCCTTTGAGGGCACTTCCCGGGCCCCAGGTCGGCGAAGACCCGCTACACGCAAGACGTGAGACCCTCAGGCTGCTAACACATAGCCTGGCGAATGACCTAACCATATGCAGTTTGAAATGCAGTTCGAATCTCGTCTTCGGTGGAGCCCCACGTGAGACCACGAAACGTGTGATGGGGGTGCCGACATGGGTGTGGGGCGGCATGCAAACGGCGAACGTCGCCACTGGGGCCTCAGGTGGAGCTCCCATAGGGCCACGAAGCGTGAGGAGTGTGCTGGAATCGGTGCGGGTCGGCATGCGAACGTCACCACTGAGGCCTCAGGTGGAGCTCCCCATGGGGCCTGTACACGTGCGAGTGGGGTGCCGACATGGGTGCGGGACGGCATGCGAACGTCGCCTCTGGGGCTCAACTAGAGCTCCCCATGGGGCCACGCAGCGTGAGGGGTGCCGAAATTGACATGCGGAGGGCTGATGCAGGGATGGGAGGAGGAAAGGAGTGAGGAACGCGGGACGCGATGCTCCGAAACGAGGACCCCGCACCACAGCATGGTTTGGGGGCGGGGAGCATCGAACAACGACTCAGGCTGAGAAGCTGGTCCTGGGGAGGGGGCCCAAACCTCGGGGGGGTCTGGGTCACGGTGCGCGGCGCCCGGGGCGCCGCCGGGAGGCCGCATCCGGGCGCACATGTCCGTGCCGGGGGGCCCCCTGCCGTCTGCCGGTCCGGTCTCTGGAATCCGCGGCTCCAGGGGCTTCCCCCGTGGCAGCTTTGCGTCCTCGATGTGTGTGTATATATATATATATATTCATATATGTGTATATATATATGTATATATATATGTATACATATCTATATACATACATATATACATATACATATACATATATATATATGTATATGTATATGCGTCCTCGATGTGTGTGTATATATATATATAGATTCTTGAGGGCCCCAGGGCGACCCCCAGGGGCCGAACTCAAGGAGCTCTCCCAGATCGAGCGGACCACACCGTCGGAGAGCTGGAGCCCCTCTGCCATGGGCCCGCAGCAGGAGCCCCTCCCCAGACCCTCGACGTCATGATCTTTCACCACCTGGACCCCCCGAGGTCTCCACCTCCTTCCCCCTTCTCTGCGCGGGCTCTTTGGGCACGAGAGTCGGCACAGTTTTCCCAGACAAGTGCATCCGCTTTGGAGTAGAAGCTCCAAGCCAAGGGTCGACAGCTTCGATCCTTCATTGACCACGGGCAGCTGGACTCGTTCTCGCCGAAGCGCAATCCAAAACCCCCCCGAGGTCTGGGTCCCGTCCTGGGGACCGGCTTTGCATCCCGAGTCGTTCTTTGACAGTCCCGACGCCTGGTGGGGGCCCTCGGGAACCCAAATCGGGAAATGTCTCCCGTCGTGATTTCTCAAAATGCAGCGGTGGTTTGGGGGACCACACCATGAGTTTGATGCGGTCGGGGGGTCTGAACGTGTGAACTGGGCGGGGCCCCCCAAAATCGGTCAGGGCGGGATGAAGCCAAACCTGCTCAAATCGGTTCCAGGACCCCTCCTGGGGTCCGTCTCGTGCGCTTTTTCCGCCCCGGACTCGTGTTTTCAGTCCCGCGGCCCGGGGACGGCTCCTGGCTTGCCATCGCTCAGACGTCCATGTCCCGTGCTTTTCTCGGTTTCGTGCGTGGTTTTTTCGCAGGATGATCCAGGATGCTCCTCAATGATCCCCGCCGAGAAGAAGTGCACACGTCCGAGCGATACCAAGCTGGTGGCAGAGCCTCGAACCCGAAACCTCCCCGAACCCAGGACCTCTCGAACCTGCCCGCCAGTCCTGCTGGCCGGAGCCGGCCCTGGGCCACCACCTTGGACCCCCAGGCAGCTCCCAAACAAGAGTTAAAAGTCGGGCCTGTCCCCCTACAGCCCGATTTTGGACGAAAAGCAACAACTTCTTGTCCACAGATTGCCCAAAGTGGTTCGACATCGTCCAAACATAGTCCCCAAACTATGTTTGGACTATCTTTGGAACATGCCCCCCGTAGAGGGACGCGCCCGACTTACAACAAGAGCCACCCCAGCGAGGGGCCACCCCTGCGCGCCGCCGAGCAGACGAGCCCGGTGCTCACCGCGGCGTCCCCGCCGGCCTCGTCGGCCCTGCGGCGGAGGAGGGCGCTGTAGGCGCCGTACGCGGCCGCGCCCGCGGCGCAGACCGCGACGCCCGCCGCGGTGTCTGCTCGGAGGCGCGCTGGCCGAGACCACCGCTCGAGCAGGGGCTGGCCGCCCCCGGCGTTCCTGCAGGCCTACCACAGCATGTTGTAAGTCGGTCCTGTCCCTCTGCAAGGGGGATATTCCAAAATAGTCAAAACATAGTCTGGGGACGATTTTTGGATCATTTTTTGACCATTTGGGGGTATTCTTGGAGTACTTTTTATTTTTCGCCCCAAATCGGCCTGTAGGGGGACACGCCCGACCTAAGACATGTTCTTAGAGGCCAAGCATGTTCTAGGAACAACAACCGATGCTCACAGAGCGCAAGCCCGATGTGTGGTAAAACAGGCCAGCCCCAGCCAGACACGTTCTGAGAACAGTCCGTGGAGACCGCAAGCGCTTCTCAGAACATTCTTCGGTGGGCCTATAGGCAAGCCAGGACGCCTCGCCGCTGTTCGAACTGCGGCCTTCCCCCAAGGTCTCCGACTTGGGCGCTGCTTTCTGCAGCATTTCTCGCGCCAGATCGCACCCGTCGGGGTTCCCACCTCACGAACCAGGGCGACGTCGCCCACAAGTGAAGGAACCGAGACGCCAGGATCTCAGGGGACGTTGTCGCCATCGGTACGTTCCTCTCCTCCCGGCGCCGCCGCCCTCCCCTCGACCTGGACCTTCCGAGCCTTCCGCGCAGCAGGTGCCGTCGTTTGGCGGCGCGCAAAAGGGGGTAGGAGGACGGGGGAAGGCTTCTTAGAAGCACCCTGCTTCTTAGAAGGCCTCGGCCTTACGTCTACAGAGAAGGCCCGCGCCTTCTAAGAAGCAGGGGTGCTTCTAAGAAGCCATCCCCCCTCCCCCTACCCTCCTCTGCGCGCCGCCAACAGGTGCCGCCGCGGCGCGGCCGCGGTGGCCGCCGAGACCGCCGCTGCGGCCTCGACGGCGGCCGCCACTGCGGCCGCGCCGGCGGCGGCCGCTGCGCGGCACCTGCGGCCCGGAAGGTGCGGACGGCGGAGGTCGAGGGAAGTGGGTTACACGTGCCCCAGGAGGCTCAGCCCCGACCGTTGACGCTTCCGAGGGAGAGAGGGAGGGAGAGAGAGAGAGAGAGAGAGAGAGAGAGAAAGAGGAAATTACACGTGCCCCATGAGGCTCAGCCCCGACCGTTAAGCCCTCCGAGGTGCGGCCCGGAAGGTGCGGACGGCGTAGGTCGAGGGAAGTGGGGGTCGAGGACGGGGGGTCGCGGGGTTCGCGGGCGTCTTCGTCGGTTCGCGGCGTTGTCGGTGTTCGGTTTTGGGTTTCTAGGCGAGGGTTCTAGGTCGCGGGCTCTAGGTTTCTAGGCGAGGGTTCTAGGTCCAAGGTTCGAAGCGAGGGTTCTAGGTCGAGGTAGGTTTTCGTTTGACGGTCGAAAATTCTAGGTTTTCGGGCGCTTTTGTCGGTTCGCGGCGTCTCCGGGGGAGAAGAACGCACACCTTTCGCGCCCTTCTTGGGCCTCCGAAGGGGGCGCTTCGCGCCACTTTCGGGTCACAAAAGGTGAACATTTTGTCACCCTCCCTCGCACCCCTAGTACACGTCGTTCATTTCTAATCGTGCTCATTTCTAATTGTGCTCGTTTCTAATCGTTCCTGGCCCCCTGGTGGCCAGGAAGAGGCCCAGGATAGAAGAATTAGAAATGAGAGGATCTTGGCCCCCCCGAAAATCCGACAACTCTCGAAGAACTACAAATGAGCAATGTGTACGCAACGCCCGACCGACGAGGTGAGTTATTCCATCTGGGCGTTTTTCCTCTGGGGCCCGCTGCTGGGGCCCCTCTGGGCCCCAGGGCCATCAGAAAGGGGTCCGATGCGAAAACTTCGCCCTGGGGGCGGGACTGCTGAAATCACATCTGGGGGTGGGACTGCCAAAATCACATCGGCGGGAACGTCTTCGAGGAATGAGGAGCGAGCTGGACGTCCTGGCCGAATCTGCAACATATCTGAAATCTTTAACTGCATACCGTGGCCGACTGCATCTTGTAAATCGGGGCGTTTTCTTGGATACGGCAAAGCAACATGTTCCCTGAGACATCCTCACAAAGATGAGCTGTTCGCTGGAGACATCCTCCAATGCTGGGTACATTCACTTTTTTGTTCGATCTTCTCAAAATGGACGTTTCGTCTGAGACATCCTCGAGCTAATCGGAAGTCGACAGCGCTGCTTTACTGCCTCCTATGCTTAAAACGGCGCTGTTGCTCGCGACATCCTGACAGCGAGAGCATGAACGCCAGCAAGGCAGACCAGCATTGCTGTATGTTTTGATGTCGTTTCAAACGTATCTGTTTCGGCAGGTGCGTCCTCACACAACCGACATGTTCTCAACATCATCTTGGTTTCGCTTTGTTGTTTTGAGGTGTGCAAAGACGAAGAAACAAGAGCCCCCGAACGACCCCAGGATGGCTTCACGATCGCCCTGAGGACTCCCGTAAATGACGACTTCGCTAAGGACATCCTCAAGAAAATGATTAACTTATAGCATAGTTTCGAACGGCAATCGTTTCTGACATTGTCTTAGCATCGCTCTCGCAATAGCTCGCGACGACCTAAACCAGCCTTCCCCAAACTGTGATTTCGATAGGGACATCCTCATCAAGTAGATGTTTGCGACATCGTGTTGGGCTCATTTTTGAAGGCATCACGGAGGCCGCCAAAAGCCCAAAGCAGGGCCCAATCTAGCTCTCAAAGCGCCCGTCTAGACGAGCCAACATTGCGATTTCGCTCGGGATATCCTCACTTCCTCACCTCGTCATCGCTCGGACGTCCATTTTTTGTGTTTTTTTCGGTTTCGTGCGTGGTTTTTTCCGCCAAATGGTCAGGGATGTTCCTCGATAGCCCTCGCCGAAGGAACAATGCACACGTCCGAGCGATGCCAAGTCACCACCCTCCACAGGGACACAGCAGACCACAGGAGCACGGCAGACCAGCACGGCAGACCAGCAAGGGTAGGGCCCAATCTAGCTCTCGAAGCGCCCGTTAAGACGAGCCAACATTGCGATTTCGCTCGGGACATCCTCACTTCCTCACCTCGCCATCGCTCGGACGTCCATTTTTTGTGTTTTTTTCGGTTTCGTGCGTGGTTTTTTCGCCAAATGGTCAGGGATGTTCCTCGATGGCCCTCGCCGAAGGAAAAAATGCACACGTCCGAGCGATGCCAGGCCAACGATCCATGAGATCCTGGCGTCTCGACTTTTTCCGCGCCGGGAGGTTTCGCTCTTTTCGGGCCCCGGGGCCCTCTCAGCTGGATCCGGCTTGAGAAATGACGCAGGAAGATGGGGTCTGGGGCTCCGGGCGCAATCTTCTTCCTCACCACCCTCCGCAGGGACACAGCAGACCACAGGAGCACGGCAGACCGGCACGGCAGACCACGGCAGCACGGCAAGCCAGCGCGGCAGACCCGCACCTGCAGACCACAGCAGACCACGGCAGGGCCAGCACGGCAGACCGCAGCAGCACGGGAGACCAGCACGGCTCCTCCTCCCCCTTCTCCTCCCCCTCCTCCCCTTCCTCCCCCTCCTCCTCCTCCCCCTCCTCCTCCTCCTCCTCCTCCTCCTCCTCCTCCTCCTTCTACTCCCCCTCCCAGGTGCACGGCAGACCACAAGAGCACGGCAGACCCACACATTGAACCGATAGCAGTTCCGTTGGTCGTTTGTGCTTCATTTCCTGGACTCCTGTGACGCTCTCAAACCATTCTCTGATAAGTTTCGTGGACAAAAGCGAAGCTTCCCGTTCTTGTCCGGTCAGATTTCAAGGAAGCTTTTCGTCACTGCCAGGTCCGAATCGGAAAACGGCTTCCAGGTGGGGCCCTTGGGAAAAAGGTCTGGGGGCCGATCTCGAGCGGAAATTTGGGCCGTATGGGGGGGGCCGCTCCAGACCCCGGCGTCATGATTTTTTCATGACGTTGGGAATCCCCGCGTCATTATTTTTCCATGACGTGCCGAGCCTCACTGGGGATCGGCACGAGGGGTTCGGGGTCATCAGTGGATGCCAAGGTGGGTTCTATCTGGCCTAACCTGGTTTAGAAGTGGGTTACATCTGCTCCAAGTGGCTCAGGGGGGCGGGGGTAGCGATCAGGGCTAAATGGGCTCCGCCCACTTGACAGAATAATCTAATCCCCTATTATGCCAGTTGGGAGATTTTCAATACACCCATCTACTAACTTAGGCCAGCTACAGACCACCTCGGTAAGCCCAGGGGGCCGCAGCCCAGGTCCTGGTCCCGGCGCCCCGGCCCCGGCCCTGGCCCCAACCCCAGCCCTGGCCGTGGCCCCAGCCTCGGCCTCGGCCCCGGCCCCAGCCCTGGCCCTGGCCCCGGCTGCGGCCCCAGCTCAAGCCCCAATAGAGCCCAAGAGGCTCACAAGAGAGCCCCAAGAAAGGCTCCAGAGCGTCAGCGTCGTCGTCGTCGCCGCTGCCGCCGCCGCCGCCGTCGTCGTCGCCGTCCCCCTTCAGGGTCGGCGGCACCGGCCGCCAAGCCTTCCCAATAATCTAACCCACATTAAGCAAGTTGGGGATTTTGCAATATACCCGTAAGATAACCTAGGCCACCCACAGCCCACCTCGGTATCCACCGTTAACCCCCTCTCCCCGCAGCACACCCCGTGCCGATCCCAACAGGGAGCGCTCTTTGCTTCATCCTGAGCCGTTCTTCGACGGCCCCGAGGCCCGGGAACGCAGCCAAAAGCTCTGCGCCGCGCTTCTTGGCCACAACGCGAGGTGATCTGGCGAGCCACCGCCGTCTCGGCGGGCCGCCCTCCGACCTTCGCCGCCGCCGCCCTGCGCGCCCGACAGCGCGTCGCAGACGCTGCCGGCGACGCAGAGGGCGACGCCCAAGGCCCTGCGACGCGACGGGGCCTGTGCGCATCGTGGAGCCGATTCCCGGCCCCGCTGGCGTGGCCCACTGGCCGCCTTGCCCACCTACCCTCGGCCTCCACCTTCCACCCCTTCTGGGCGGCAGATGCCGCGCAGCGGCCGCCGCCAGCGCGGCCGCAGTGGCGGCCGCCGCCGAGGCCGCAGCGGTGGTCTGAGCGGTCGCCGAGGCCTCGCCGCGGCGGCACCCTGCTGCGCGGAAGGCTCGGCAGGCGGAGACACGTGCCTGCTCCGGGTGGGCGGGCGGGTGGCAAGACCATCCGGCGGGCGAAGAGCGGTAGAACGTCAGCTCTTCTGCGATCGGGGACGCCCGCCCCAGGGCGGCTGGGGAGTTTGTGCCCTCACGGTGGCAGGTGGAGGCATGAACTTCCCAGGGGCCCTGGGACAGGCGTCCCGGCGCCCCGGATGCAGGAACAATTTCTGTACCGTCCTTCGCCTGCTAGACCACGGCCAGGTGGGGATGGGGATCGCTTCGGCGATGCTGAGCCTCCACCCCAAAGAGGGCGGCTAAAAGGTACACCCAGATGCAGGACGTGGAGCTCACCACCGTCGAGGTGGTCACAGTCAGGGAGCCCAGGCTGGCGTTGTAGGCCCAGTTGGCCGCGAACCAGAGGGGCGCTGTTCGATGATCCTCAGAACGCGTGTCAGCGCCAACGTGTGCTTGTCCACCGCCGCCCTTCATGGCGACGTCCAACCCAGGACCCCCGACGTCATGTTTTTTTCACAACGTCGGCCCCAGAGGTCTGGACCCCTTCCCCGGGACCACTTTTCCATGCTGAGCCGTTTCTTGACAGCCCCGAGGCCCAGTGAGGGCCCCCAGAGGCAGCAGCAAATAGCGACACACATTCCCGTCGTGATTTTTTAATGACTCGAAGGCGTCTGGGCCTGCCGCCTCCTCCTCCTCCTCCTCCTCCTTCTCCTCCTCTTCCTCCTCCTCCTCCTCCTCCCACTCCTCCTTCTCCTCCTCCTTCTCCTCCTCCTCCTCCTCCTCCTCCTCCTCCCCCTCCTCCTCCTCCTCCTCCCTCCTCCTCCTCCTCCTCCTTCTCCTCCTCCTCCCACTCCTCCTCCTGGGGGGCAATAAGGGGGCGGGGGGGAGGCCTCTCAGAAGCGCCCCTGCTTCTTAGAGGTCGCGGAGCAGACTATATCGAGCTTCGTCCGTCGTGGCTGCTTCTTGTCGGGGCCCGCCAAAGGGGGGGGGGGGAGACCCTGAGGGGGGGGGCGAGTTCGATCCGCTGGTGCATCGAACTTCCGAAAAACGATGCCCCCAGCGCGCCCCGATTGTCGACGCCTCTCGAGTTCCGACGGCGGCCGGGGACCTCGTTTTGCATAGTTTTTCTGCGGTTCGATGCGCCAACGGACCGAACCCTCCCCCCTGTGGCCCCCCCCCTTTGCGAGGTCCCGATCCTGGCGGTGCGCAGAGGGGGGGAGGGGGAGGGGGGGAAGGCTTCTTAGAAGCACCCCTGCTTCTTAGAAGGCGCGGGCCTTACATCTATAGATAAGGCCCTTATCTATAGATGGAAGGGCCCGCGGCTTCTAAGCGGCTCTCCCCCCTACCCCCCCTCTGCGCGCCGCCAATCTTCTCCACAACGAAAGGAGGTTGTTGCTCGGACCCAGAGGTCCGACGCTCCAACAAAAATTGGAGCTGGCGGTTTTGGGTTGTTTTCGGCCTCTGGGGGCCCTCGCGGGGCCCTTGGACCGTCCAAAAACGACTCATGACGAAAAACCGGTCCTCAGGAAGGTGTCCAGACCTCCATGGCCCATGCATCGACAAAAAGTTCGAGCAGCCCAAGGGCACCCTCCCCAGGATGCACAAGAACATCCAACAAAGACGAAGAACATTGGGGTGCCCTCCCCGATCCCCGAACCGACCTCGATCTTATACCTCGGTCCGACTGCAACTCGGATCTATGGCGGCCGTTCTGGACGATCTGGGCACCCGCAGAACGCTCTCGGCGGGGCGCAGCTGCTGTAAAGCAGCCGCCCCGAGGCTGGAAAACCATGGGGAACCAGCGCAAACTCCCCAAACCTCGAGCACAGAGGTCCAGACCTCTTCCGTCCCGGATGGAGTTCTGACTGTCCTGGGGCCCGACAGGGGGCCCTGGAGGTCGAAGTCGAGGAACGACGCCAAGATCGAAGCACAAATCGTCAGATCTTTGGGTCGGCCAACGCACGCTCTGGGGACAGTCGAGCTATCTGCGCCGAGATCCACAGGTGCTCCCGGAAGCCCAGCTCGGCGGCGCCCACAGGAGGGGCTGGCGCGATGGGGGTGGGCTTCTGACGCGGCGACGGGGCTTCCAAGAAGGCAGGGGCCTTCTGAAGGTCTGCGCTGCATGGGATCGCGACGTCGGACCGCATCGAGAGCGCATCGCATCGCCAGGGAATCGCCCCGCCGGATCGGGTTGGCGTCGAGTCGCCACGCCCCGCCTGCGGCGGGCCCTGGCCGGTGCCAGTGAGCAGAGCTGGATGGCATCAAAATTGGAATCGCGGCCCCAGGCAGCGAATCGCATCGCATCGAATCGGGTCGTAGGCGGCCCTGGAAGGGCCCGGAGGCTTCTAATCGAGGATTTACGGAGATCCATTTCGCAAAACACTCTTGAGCGACAACTGCTGGGGCACTCCGCGGAAGCACGTGGCACCGCGTTCGGAGTGCACCCGAGCAGAATCGTTTTTTTGTTGTGTGTGTTTTTTTGGACGTCCGAAAGCATGCAGATCCTGCGAAACGCACGTCGGTTAGCGAAGCCGACCGGGGACAGCACCGGAACACTCGTATGCCAATGTCGAGTTCGCCCGTGGAAATTTCCTCAATCGACTTGTCTGGGTGGGCGTTCTCTCAATGCCCGACCTAAAAAGGCTTCCCAGGAGCCGGGCGGAACCTTTTGTTGAAGCCCCCATGCCTTCTTACACTCCCCCGCCTTCATACCAGACCCCCGACGTCATGACTTTTCAGGACGTGGACCACAAGAGGTCTACTGGGATCGGCGCGGGGGTTGCTAATGGGATAGGAGGTTTATCCGCGCATGCCAAGATGGGCTATATCTGGCCGACCCTAGATTCTAAGTGGGTTACGACTGCCACACGTTACGTTGGGGGCTTAGATGACTCCGCTACGTGGGCGGAGCCCCTTTTGCCTGGATCGTAATCCCCCCCCTTGGCCTCTTGAGGCATTTTTGCCCAAGTTCGGCCAGATGTGGTCCACCCTGGTGTCCGCTGACAGCCCCCCCCTATCCCCTCAACACCCTCCGCGCCGACCCCTGCACCCCTTCCAAAGTGCCGGCTTGACGTCCTGATTTGTTACTCTGGCAGTCCCGATAAGGCCCCCCAGAAGCCCAGGGCAGCGACAATTTGGACGCCCGAAATGGGTACCGAAAGAATGGGTACAATGCCCAACAACACATGTTGTCCCGAACCAACAGCGGCCGCTGTTGGGCAGGCGGCCTCCTGTCTCGAATGGACACACGCCGCGGCGGCGCGGACAGCGAGCCCTGTTCAAAATGAACAAGATCCGCTGTTGGGCATTGTACCCGTTCTTTCCGTGCCCATCTCGTTCGGGCAGCGACAAGCCACTCGTCCCCGCCCCCGGGGGCCTTCGGGCCGCCACGCGGGCCCCTCCGGCGGCCGTGCGGGACGACTTCCAGGCACGTCCCCCCAGCCGCGCTCGGCGGCACGCGCAGCCGCCGCTGCGAGGGCCTCCCGAGGCCCGGAGGCCGCGGCAGTCCGACGAGGACGCCCGAGGACCCCAACCCTGATCTTCCAGAAGGGCTGAAAAATAGCACGCGACTTAAGACTTAAAAACCTATCCAAGAGCTATTCAACGTCTTGGTTTTAGGCTGTTTCGTTTAGTTGTTCAGGCTTTTAGGCCTCCCGTGCTAAAACATAGCTCTCTGGAAGGTCAGGGCAACCCTCGAGCCTGTCTCGAAGGAGAGCAGAGACACTTTTTTGATTCGCGGGTCGAGAGCGCACCTCTTCCGGTCGAAGCGAAGCAGGCCGCGCGAAGCTTGAATTAACCGGAGATGGAGGAGGAAAAGGGGGGCGCAGCCTCAAAGAACGAGGCCGGGAGGAGGCAAAGCCTCGGGATCAGGCGGTGCCGTAGTCGACTAAGGAGAGCAAACGCACACAAACATAAACTTTGGGCGCTCCGCGCAGGTCTCTTGGATCCGCGCCGTGCCCCCCTCCCTGGCGCGCGGAGCGCGCCAGGGGCGGCGCAGGAGGCGCCGCCAGGGGGCTCCCAGCGCGGATCCAAGAGATCCGCGCGGAGCGCCAACAGCTTATGCGTATGCGTTTTTATTTGTTCTTCTTCGACTGTCGTCCCCCCCAGGGGGCCTGTCCCCCCTTCTCTCGGCGGCGACGACAAGGGCGAATAGCCCAGGGGCGGGCATTACACGTATTCGCCCGGGAGCCTTACCGAAGACATAGATCATCGGCGCACCTGAATACATGTGTTGCTCTCCCCTGGGCTATTCGCCCCTATCGTCGCCTCCCCCCTTTGCTTGAGCAGGGACCGACCGTCCCGGCATTCCTATAGCCCTACCACGACATGTTCTTAGAACCCCATGATGTTCCAAGAACACAAACGATGTTCTTAGAACATAGACTCGATGTGTTAGAAGAAGACAGCCCCAGCCAGAAATGCTCTAAGAACATCTCGTGGAAACCACAAAATGCTCTTAGAACATTGTTTGGTAAGCCTATAAGGCACGCCAGGACGCTTCGCAACTGCTTTGGACGCCCGAATTGGGCACGGAAAAATTGTTATAATGCCCAAAACCATGTTGCCCCAAACCAACAGCGGCCGCTGTTGGGCAGGCGGCCTTCTGTCTCGAATGGACACAGGCCGCGGCGGCGTGGACAGCGAATCCTCTTCAAAATGAACAGCGAACTGCCGTTGGGCATTGTACCCGTTCTTTCGGTACCCATTTCGGGCGTCCAGAACTGCTTCGCAACCCATTCTTTCGGTACCCAGTTCGGGCATTACCCATTTCTTTCGGTACCCAGTCTTTCGGTACCCATTTCGGGGTACCCATTCTTTCGGTACCCATTGCGGGCGTCTTTGGCAGGCCTATAATAGGCACGCCAGGCACGCCAGGACAATAGGCGCGTCTTTGGCAGGCCTATAATAGGCGCGCCCAACCCCCCCCCTGTGGGCGCAGCTCACCACCGGCGGGCCGCCGGCCCCTCCGGCGGGGGCGCGCCCCGGCGCGCCCGCCGCGGCCTCGGCCCCGCCCCCGGCGCGCTGCTGCAGGGGCGAGGCGGGGCCCGCGCCGCCGGTGCCGGAGCGGCCCGCGGGCGCTCCTCCGGGGGGCGCGGGAGGAGGAGGAGGAGGAGGAGGAGGAGGAGGAGGAGGAGGAGGAGGAGGAGGAGGAGGAGGAGGCGGAGGAGGAGGAGGAGGAGGAGGAGGAGAGGAGGAGGAGGAGGAGGAGGAGGAGGAGGAGGAAGCGGAGGAGGCGGAGGAAAGGGACGAGGAGGCGGAGGAAAGGGAGGAGGAGGCGGAGGAAAGGGAGGAGGAGGAGGAGGAGGAGGAGGAGGAGGAGGAGGAGGAGGAGGGAGGGTGCTAAGGTTAGGTCGGGCATGTCCCCCCTGCAGGCGGATTTTGGGCGAAAGCCGAGAAAAACACTCCCAAACATACACCAAGAAAATCAGAACATGTGCAGCAAATCGTCCCCAGACTCGTTTTTGATTGTTTTTGCATATTCCTCCTGTAGAGGGACGCGCCCGACTTGATGCTAAGGGGATCTTCCGCCGCGCCGTTGGTTCGGAACGCGCCCGAGGTGGACGCAGCTGGCACCGCGGGAAACCCAGATCCCCTCGCGTCGTGAAAAAATCACGACGGGATGTTTTGGAATCTTCGGCCTCCAAGGGCCCTCGCCGGGCCCTGAGGTCGTCAAAAAACGACTCAGGATGAAAAACCGGTCCCGGGGAAGGGGTCCAGACCTCTGGGGGCCGACGTTGTGAAAAATTACGACGTCGGGGGTCTGGGAACCGAGGGCAAGCCCTGCGTCCAGCGCCCCAGCAGACGAAGCCAGCACTGTGGCAAACCCCACGGCAAGCCCGCCGCGCCCGAGGCGGAGCTTGCCCCTGGTGGCTGCGGCGCGCTCCCCAAGACGCGAGGCCGCGCGTCGGAACAGACGGCGCGGCGACTGATACAATTATCGAGTTGGGAGGAAGTGGCCGGGGAAGATACAGGGCACGACTGTGTCATTTGCACCTTCAACACACGCGAGAATACGGAGGATCTGATCATCTCTCTCCGCCCCATCCTCCCAGCCCGATAGTTCTCAAGACAGAGTGTCTTTCGGAGGGTAGGGCGGCAGCAGCAAAGGGGCAGTCCAGCTCAGGGGGAAGGGCACTGCTGGGCTCGGCGCAGAGGCTCCAGGCTCTCGGACGTGTTCTCGCCTCGGGGTGCTCTCGGGCAGCTGCGCCCCACCGAGGGCGCGCGCCAGGGGTGCCTGGGTCGCCCCGAACAGCCGCCGGGGACCCGAGTTGTGGCCCTGAAGCCACCAGGATCGGTGCGGGGGGTTGCTGAGGGGAGAGAGAGTTTTCAGTGGATGCCAGGGAGGGTTCTATCTGGCCTGACCTAGCTGATGAATGGGCTGCACATGCCCAGCTCGTGAACCCCCCTAGGCTACTTGGGGCACTTGTAGCCCACTTCTGAGCCAAGTTCGGCCAGATCTGCTCGACCGTGACATCCACTGATAACCCCTTGCGCCGATCCCAATCAGATCTCCGACGATCTGATCTCTGAATGTTGTCGAGCTGGGCGCTCTTCTCTTCGATGTCGGCCTCTGGGGCCTGTTGCTGGGTTTTGGGGCCCTCAAAAACGGAGCCGGGGCGAAAAACTAACCCTGGGGAATGGGTCGGGACCTCTCCTAGGGGACCGAACATGGGATAAACATAAGAACTCGGAGGCCCGCGCGGATTTCTCGGATCGGCGCTGGGGCCCCCTGGCGGCGCCTCTGGCGCCGCCTCCGGCGCGCTCCGCGCGCAAAGGAAGGGGCCCAACGGTCATCCGAGGAATCCGCGCTGACCTCCGAGTTTTTATGTTTATGTCATTGGTTGTTTCCCTATTTCTATGGTCATTGGCTGTTTCCTTATTGGTGCCATTGGTTGTTTCCCTTTTTCTATGGCCATTAGTTGTTTCCCTCTGTCATTGGTTGTTTCGCCATTCCTTTGGCCATTGGCTGTTTCCCTATTTCTACTGATTGTTTATGTCATTGGTTGTTTATGTTTCCGCCACTGGTTGTTTCCCTATTTCTGGGTCCGCGGCCTGAACACAATTACATCGGCGGTTGTCAAAAAGCTCTCGGTAGTCCGCGCAAAGATTTCTCGGACCGGCGCTGCGCGCTGCGCGCGCAGAGCTCCGAGAGATGATTTTGACGCAATTGCCCTTCGGTCGGGCGTGTCCTCCTACAGGCGGATTTTGGCCGACAGCTAGCAAGTACTCGAAACATACGCAGAAAGAGCCCCAACATGCTCAACAAATCGTCCCTGGACTTATTCTTGACTATTTTGGAATATTCCTCCCGTAGAAGCACATGCTCGACTTGACAGTACCCGTCGGTGGGAATAATAATAATAATAATAATAAGAAGAAGAAGAATAAGAAGAAGAAGAAGAAGAAGAAGTGGGTCGAACACATGAAGTACGGATGCGTTGGAAGTGGGCAGGGTCTCCGCCCACCCCTTGAAGACGAAGGGAACAGGGAACGCCACCCGATCCTTGAAGTGGGGAGGCGCCTAAGGGTCGAATGGCGACTGGGAGTCCGAGAACACCTACTTTCGGCTACACGCGCAAGAGTGACCCTGGGTAAGAGTGACCTCTGGTGCGCGGCTTTTTGGGGGCCGCGGGAAAACCAAATCCGTGCGCACAAGCCGCTGCTCCTGCCTCGTTCTCAGCCAGCTGGGGCCCACCCGTGCCCGCACCAAAGGTCACTCCTACGTCTAGTCGATACTTTTCTTCAGTCAGCGGCCGCGGGCGAGCGCGCCGGCGGCGAGTCAGGCCAAAGCGGGCTACGCAGCGACGAATTAAGCGAAGGCAGCGGGGGCGAGCCACGCCTAACGCAGCCAGCCGAGGCCTCACGCGGCGGCCCAGCGGCGGGCGGGTGGCAGGGGTGACTGAGACTGCGTCGAACTGCCAGCGTGCAAGCCGTCTAGTCGATACTTGCAGCGGCCGATCCGCACTTTCCCTCCGCGCTCCGAGCGCCCGTGCGCGCCCGCGGCGCCGCGCCCGCGCCTCCCACGCCCGGCCGGCGGCGCCCGCGACGCACAGGATGCCCAGAGCCTCTGGCGCCCCGAGGGCGCAGCCTCGCGGCCGGCCTCGCCCAAGCTCACGGTGAGGGCGCTCTCTGGAGGGCAGGACATTCACCCCAACCACAGTCACCCCGACGAGCGAGGCCGTTTAGCAAGCGTCCCCCAAGGAAGGGATCGAACAGGGCAGGGCCTGTTTCGTCAGGGCCCTGGGCCGTTCAGTGCACGCCAGCTGTCGAGGTCTGGGTGGTGTTTCCTTCCCTGATTCTTGATCTCAGTTGGTCCGTGCGTGCACGAGCTTCCTTGCAGAAGTAAGCTCTGGGGAGCAGCAGGGCCAGCAGCACGACTGCCGTCACCTCTGCGGTGCGACGCACTGCCGCCAGAAGGCTGCTCGAAGACTGCGGGCCTTGGATCACTGCGACGCGCGGCAAACGAGGCTCACGCCTGCTCGATCGCCGCCTTCCGTGCCGTCGCCCAGGCTCAGGTGGATCGCATCGGCCCACAGCACGATGCTCAAGGACCGTTGGATAAAGAACCCAGTGTCTGGAACCCGGTGGCGCTCCCATCGTGGATGGGCGGTGGGTGTCACCGCCGCCCTCCTCAGAGAAGGGGTCCTCCAGGGCCCGAAGCCTACTTGGCACACCCCTTGACGAACGCCCCCGCCGTATCCTCACGGCCGGCCTCTCCAGTCGGGGGGGGCGTGAAGGTGGGGTAGGGGCAGAGGTGGGCTTAGAAAAACATCGCTTAGAACGGCCCGTGCAGGAAGGGAATGTGAGTATCCAGCTGGGTGTGTTCCCAGACCCCACCCTGGGATAACCCCCCCGAGGAGGAGGAGGAGGAGGAGGAGGAGGAGGAGGAGAAGGAGGAGGAGGAGGAGGAGAAGGAGGAGGAGGAGGAGGAGGAGGAGGAGACGAGGCAAGGAGGAGGAGGAGGAGGAGGAGGAGGAGGAGGGAGGAGGAGGAGGAGGAGGAGGAGGAGGAGGAGGCCCCTCTACGAACCCCCGATCCAAGCTTTTCTGCTGGTAGGCATCCTTGAGGCCCCCCTCGGGCCCTCCGAACACGCCCCTGGCCGGGCGCTTTCCACGATGTGGCCCCAGAAGAGGGGCGGAGGATCGCGCCGCATCGCCGACGCATCGGCGATGCATCGGCGACGCCGGCGGTGCATCGGCGACGCCAGCGTGGAGGACAAGCCGAGCTCCACCATCGCGCCGCACCGCCGACGCCTCGGCGGTGCGGTGCGATCCTCCGATCCCATCTGCTCGGACCTCATCTGAAGGAGGAGGAGGAGGAGGAGGAGAAGGAGGAGGAGGAGGAGGAGGAGGAGGAGGAGGAGGAGGGGGAGGGAAGGGGGAGGGGAAGGGGGAGGGGGACAAACTAGGTGTGCTCGCGTCATATCTGACGTACTACCACTCCCTCCCATCCCTAACCATGGCGTAGATCTCCTCTCTATTCGCACAGTCGGATGTCATAGCAGGGCATAGCATTACATGGCATAACATGGTCCTGAAGATCAACGCGTAGCCTGACATGGCATGGCGTGGCGACGCCCCAGAGTGTGGGGGGGGGCTTCTGCGACCCACAAAATCAAAGAACTGACACCGAATGTGTAATCACTTCAGATGTTTTTTTTTCGGGGGGCCACTTTCAAGATTGTGGGGCCTGTTTGGAAGGACCGAGAACCGTGCCGTGGCATGGCGTTGGAAATAATGACGCCAACGCCACAGCGGGACCACGATTCGGAACGAGCGGGAGCGCGGGAATGAGGCCAGCGCTGCAGAGGGAGCACGGTTCGGAGGACGCGTAGCCTGAAATAGCATGGCGTGGCGACGCCCCTAAAATGGTGGTGGGCTTCTGCGACCCACAAAATCATCGAATCCAACCGAATGTGTAATCATTCCCCATATTCTAAGATGGGGTTCTTGTTATTACTTGGGCGCCTGCTACTCCTCCTTCTTCTCCTTCTCCTCCCCTCTCTTCCTCATACCCAGACTTACTCATACACAGACTGACTCACACTCAGACTTACTCATACCCAGACTTACTCACACACAAAATTACTCTTACTCAGACCTGCTCATACTCAGACCTACTCCTACTCAGACTTACTCATGGTGAGACTCACGCACGCCCCGTTCGCGGCCGTTTTGCGGGGATGCCTCAAGCGGTTTGCTTGTTTTCTGTCCCAACATCCTTGGCTACCAGAGCAAATTGTGAGGATGTCTCAGGCGGGGCGCTGGTTTTAGCTCCGCCTAAGGGGAGCCGCCAGCGGTTATCTCACGGTCCCGTTCGCGGCCGTTTTGCGGGGATGTCTCAAGCGGTTTGCCTGTTTTCTGTCCCAACAACCTTCGCTTTCGGAGCAGGTTTGGAGGATGTCTCGAGCGAGGCGCTCATTTTCACCCTTCACAGGGGAGCCGCCAGGGGTTATCTCACGGTCCCGTTCGCGGCCGTTTTGTGGGGATGTCTCAAGCGGTTTGCCTGTTTTCTGTCCCAGCATCCTTCGCTTTCGGAGCAGATTTGGGGGATGTCTCGAGCGAGGCGCTCATTTTCACATCTCAAAGGGGAGCTGCCAGGGGTTATCTCAGGGTCCCGTTCGCGGCCGTTTTGTGGGGATGTCTCAAGCGGTTTGCCTGTTTTCTGTCCCAGCATCCTTCGCTTTCGGAGCAGATTTGGGGGACGTCTCGAGCGAGGCGCTCATTTTCACTCCCCAGGTGGGCCAGATTTTGAAGATGTCTCGATCGGTGGCCAGACGCGTGGGCACAGATTCTCTTGAGGATGCCACAGGAGGCTCCAACAGGCTCCAGGAGGCCCCAGGAGACCACATGAGGTCCCAGGAGGCATCAGGAGGCCACAAAAAGACTCAAGAGGCCACATGATGTCCCAAGAGGCTCTAGGAGGCCCCAGGAAGCTCCGGGAGGCCTCAGGAAGCCAGAGAAAGCGCCAGGAGGTCTCGGAAGGCGACACGAGGCCCCGAGAGGCCCCAGGAGCAGGAGGCCTCAGAAGGCAACAGGAGTGGCTCCAATCCCATGTGTTTTACGTATGCTCCTATAGATTGGGCCTCACCTGGAGCACGAATCCTTGATGTTATACGTATGTTTCTACATATTGTCCTTCTCCTGTGTCCTTATGTTCCTATCGGGCTTCTCCTGGGGCACGAATCCTTGATGTTTTACGTGTGTTCCTATAGATTGCCCCCTTCTCCAGTGGCTCCAATCCGCAATGTTTGATGTACGTCTGTTGCTATAGATTGGGCCTCTCCTGGGGCACGAATCTTCCCTAGGAGGTCCCAGGAGGCCCCAGGAGGCCCCAAGAGGCTCCTGGAGGCCCCAGGAAGCCCCAGTCGGTTTCAGGAGGCCCCAGGAGGCCCCAGGAGGACCCAGGCTCATTCGCAGAGACGCGCTCGTACTACTGAGGCTCATTCACACTCCAATTCATTCTCAGTTAGATTCATGACCAGACCGTCGCAACTGAAGCCCGTTTATATTCGAAAGCTCTTGCGCCTAGACATTCACGGCGGACAGGTCCATGCGAATAGATGCACATATGGGGAGCTCCACGCAGTGAATGATTTCGGATGGTTTTTTCGGGGAGGCATTTTCTAGATTTTGGGGCCTAGTTGGAAGGACCGAAAACGTGCCGTGGCATGGCGTTGGAAATAATGACGCCAACGCCACAGCGGGAGCACGATTCGGAACAAGCGGAAGCGCGGACATGAGGTCAGCGCTGCAGAGGGAGCACGATTCGGAACGATCGGTAGCCCGAAAATGGAGCCAGCGCTTCAGCGAGAATAACACATGGAAAAACAACCCCAGCGAAAACCAGTTTCCCCGGAATCCTGTATAACAATCCAGTGCGCGGAGGGGGGGCGGATATTTCTGGACGTCAGCAGGGGAGAGAGGAAAGTAATATTCATATGGTGTAATTGTGGAGGAGGAGGAGGGCCTAGAACAAGACAAACCAGTCCTGGGGATGGGACCGAGAGCCCCAGGGGGCCCGTGCTGCGAAGCAGCTCGGTGGCGCAGGAACTCTGGGAATGGGGAAGTTCACGAGGAACAGGCTGTTGCAGACGCAGGTGAGCAGGAACGGCCTGTCGAAGCTCTCCTCGTGGAAGATGTGCTGCACGAGGACGGAGGAGAGCGTCCATATCAGGGCCACTAGGGCGATGAAAGCGGCACCGACAGCCCTCAGCTGCATCGCCAAGTGCAGGGCGGACTTGGCACATGTACGTCGGCTCCGATGGAGCCCCCGCAGTTCATAATCATAATCTTGGGCCGCGGACTCGACGGCCGGGATTCGAGCGAGCGTGCGCGGGGATGGGAGGAGAGAGCGCGCGGGAGCGCGTGCGCAGGATGAGGATGAGGATGAGGATGCGGATGGAGATGAGGATGAGGGTGAGGATGCCGATGGAGATGAGGCTGAGGAAGAGGATTAGGCTTCTGCAGCTGCTGCCAATGATGCTGCTGCTGCTGATGCTGCTGCTGATGCGGATGTAATGATGATGATGATGATGATGATGATGATGATGGTGATGGTGATGGTGATGGTGACGGTGATGATGATGATGATGCTGATGATGATGATGATGATGCTGATGATGATGATGATGATGATGATGATGATACTGATACTGATGATGGTGATTGTGATGGTGATGATGATGATGATGATGATGATGATGATGGCGATGGTAATGATGATGATGATGATGACGATGATGATGATGATGATGATGATGATGATGATGATGATGATGGTGGTCACGGTGATGACGATGATGACGTTGCTGCTGACGATGCTGCTGATGATGTTGATGCTGATGATGATGATCATGCTGATGATGCTGATGCTGCTGCTGATGATGATGGCGATGGTGATCATGATCATGATGATGCTGTTGCGGATGATGATGACGACGATGATAATTATGATGATGATGATGATGATGATGATGATGATGATGATGATGATGATGATGATGATGCTGCTGCTGATGATGATGCTGATGATGCTGATGATGATGGTGATGATGATGATGAAGATGATGATGAGGATGATGACGACGATGACGACGATGGCGACGGTGATGGTGCTGGTGATGCTGATGAGGATATGATTATGCTGTTGATGCTGCCGCTGATTATGATGAGGATGGGGATGATGATGATGCTGCTGCTGATGAGGAGGAGGAAAACGGGGAAGTGAGTAGGGTGAGGAGGAGGTGGAGGAGGAGGAAGAGGAGGAGGAGGAGGAGGAGGAGGAGGAGGAGGAGGATCGAGCCCGTGCCACCTGAAACCTCCCGATGACCTCCGAAAGCCTCGCGCCTCCCCCCTCCCTCCTCCTCGCCTTCGCCGCCACCAGCGGCTCTCTCGGGCCAGCTTGGGGCTCGCTTGAGGCCGCACTGGGCCATGTGTGTGGGGGGGGCCTCTCGGGGCTCTCGGCGGGCCCTCCTGGGCCCTGGAAGGCAGCAAGCGGCCGGACCTTCGTCCACAGAGCCCGCCGCCGCCGCCGCCGCCATCGCCGCCGCCGCCGCCCTATTGCCTTCGTCGCCATCGCCGCCGCCGCCGCCGTCGCCGCTATCGCCGCCGCCGCCGTCATCGCCGCCGTCGTCGCCGCCGACGTCGGCCATCGCCGCCGCTGTCGCCGCCGCCGCCGTCGTCGGCCTGCTGCTCGCTCTCCCGCCCCCCGCGCGGCCCGCGGAGGGGGGCGCCCGCCCCTCTCCCTCCGCGGCGGGGGCGGGCGTGGCGGCTCGTCCGCGGCTTGGGGGGGCGCTGTGGCTCATCGATTGGTTGATCGACTGGTCGTCCGCCGTTCCGTGGATCGATCGGTTGATCGGTAGGACGTCAGCCGTTGCGTTGGTCGATCGGTTGGGCGCTTGGATGGTCGATCGATCGGCGGATCGATTGGCTGATCGATCGGTTGGCAATCATTCGTTGGTCGATCGGAGCGGTGATCGATCGAACCCGAGATCGATCGGCTGATCGATCGATCGGTCGTCAACCACTCGGTGGCCCACTGGCCTAGCAATCTTTGCCCAACTCTTCCAGCGGTGGCGGGGCCTACTAGGTGGGGCAACCAAAAAAGCACCGATACCGCTACACCCCGGACAGCCCGGGGTACGTTCTGACCAGAGTTTCGATGCGAATCCAGCCGCGGCGGCGAGGGCCTCCTGGGAGGCCCCAACAAGCGGTAACACGAGGCAAGGCTTAGGTCGAGCAGTTTCGAAAAGAAAGTCAGAACATACTCCAAAATGGTCAAGAATAGCCAAAACATCGTCCCCGGACTATTTTTGAACTTTTTGTTGGAATACTCCTCCTGTAGAGGGACAGGCTCGACTCAGGCAAGGGTCGCGGCATCGGTGCCTTTTCCTCCTCCGACGGAGGGCGCTGCGCGCGCGGGCTTTCCACCGCGCACGCGCCGGCGCGGCGAGCTCGCCCCGCCGTGGAAAATGCCCTGCTTGCCCCGACGACGGGGAGCTCCTCAAGCAGTGGCGAAGCGTCCTGGCTCGCCTGTAGCCCTACCAAACAATGTTCTAAGAACCTTTTGTGGTCTCCACAAAATGTTCTTAGACCATTTCTGGCGGAGTCTGTCTTGTTTTAGCACAGCGGCTTTATGTCCAAAGAACTTTGCTTTGTTCTTAGAACAATTTTGGGTTCTAAGAGAATTTCGTGGTATGACTATAGGAATGCCCGCACGGTCGGTCCCTGCTCAAGCTCCGGAGAGGCGGCGGGCGCGCTCCCCCCCCACCGAGGGAGCGCGCTGGCGGACACACCGCCGCGGGGCGCCGCCGCGGGGCGCAGCGGGGCGCCGCCGCGGGAGAGCCTCGGCGGCGAGGACAGGGGCGAAGTAGCCCAGGGGCGGGCATGACACGCATTCGCCCGGGAGCCTGGTCGAAGACACAGACCATCGGCGCACCTGAGTGCATGTGTTGCTCTCCCCTGGGCTATGTTCGCCCCCCCTCGTCGCCTCTGAGGGTCGAGCTCCCAGATCTCCGACGGACGTGACTTCTTCCAGCCCCGGCGTTCTTCCTGTGCAGGCCCTCCAGGCGGGGTCGGAGCAGATGGGGTCGGCGGATCGCGCCACTCTGCCGATGCCTCGGCGACGTCGGCGAGCGTCAGCGACGTCGACGCGAAGCAGGGCGGGCTCTGCACCGAGCCGCACCGCCGACGCATCGGCGATGCGGCGCGGTCCTCCGACCCCATCTGCTCGGACCACATCTGGGAGGCCTAGATTTAGGTCGGGCATGTCCCCCTACAGGCGGATCTTGAACGAAAACTAAAAAAAATCAAAACATACTCCACAAGAATAGTCAACAAAATCGTCCCCAGACTATTCCTTGACTAATTTTTGAATATTCTTCCTGTAGAGAGACAGGCCCGACGTAAGCCCAAATCCTGGATCTCGGCCTCCCAGGCCCGTGAGCGGTCGACTGGGCCACGGGGACATCGACCACAGATCCGGGGCGACGGCCTGGCCTGGGGTGGAGGATCGATGCCTCTGGGGCCGCGCATTGGGACACTCCTTCCCCTCCTCCTTCTCATGTTCCTCCTCCTCCTCCTCATGTTCCTCTCCCTCCTCCGAAGATGTCGGCGACGACGACGGCGCTCATCCTCATTCGCCGCCGCTCCTCCTCCTCCTCCCCTCCTCCTCCTTCCTCCTTCTCCCCCCTCCCGCCTCCTCCCTTCCCCTCCCCCCCACCTTCTCCCCCCCTCCTCCTCCTCCTCCTCCTCCTCCTCCTCCTCCTCCTCCTCCTCCTCCTCCTCCTCCTTCTCCTCCTCCTCCCTCCCTATTCTCCCTCCTCCCTCCCCCCCCACCTCCATCTCTCCCTCCTCGTCCTATCTGCTGATGCCCTGGCTTCCTGTACGGATCCGTCGGCCCCACCCCCCGGCGCGGCCTTCCGGGAGAGGGCCGACGACCGGCCGGCGCCGCTCCCCTCCCTCGACGCCTGTTCGTTGGAGTCGTCGTCGCCGCCGTCGTCGTCGTCGTCGTCGCCGTCGTCGTCGCCGTCGTCGTCGCCGTCGCCGTCGTCGTCGCCGTCGTCGCCATCGTCGTCGTCGTCGTCGTCGTCGTCGTCGTCGCCGCTCCCCCCGTCCGCGGGCCTGGACACCCGCCGACCCGACGCTTTTTTCAGCCCGCGGCCCAAGAAGTCCCCACCCAGGACGAGGGCAAAATCGAGACAACAGTGGACCGATACATATAGCTTGCCATCGCTCGGACGTCCGTTCCCTTCGCATTTTTCGGCCTCGTGTGTGCCTTCTTCGCTCGGCGATCAAGGATGCTCCTCGATGGCCCCCGCAGAGAAAGCACGCACATGTTCGAGCGATGCCAAGATCACCTGGAAATCTCTGAGAACTGGCGGGTTTGGAATGTGCGTCGGGCGCCGCGGTCCTTCCAGAGCGCCCCCGGCCTGGTGGATCTCGCTTCGAGGCCTGCCTGACGCACCTCTCCCCGCGGCCACTCTCTGTCGCCCAGCAGACTCCGCCCTCCAGTGCTCCCGGGGCCCGAGGACGCGCCTGCTGGATTGGTCTCGCTCCGAGGCCTGCCTGACCACTCTCTCTCCCCGCGGCCAGCTTAGAACGCCCAGGGCCCGCCCTGGATGGTCCCGGGGCCCGGTGAGCGGGGCCCCCAGGGCCGACATCGAGGACAAAAGGCCCGGGCGGAGCACGCCAGGTCGTCGGAGATCTGGGATCCTGACCTTCCAGAGAGCTATTTTTAAGCAAGGGAGGCCTAAAAACCTAAAAGACGAAACGAAACAGCCTAAAACCAAGAAATAGAATAGCTATGGGATCGGTTTTTGGGTGTCCCAAAACCGTGTGGTGACAGATCCGGCGGTGACCTCGAAATCCGCAAAGACCTCACCGCACGGTCCGTCACCACACGGTTTGGGACCCTGGAGGCTCCAGTCGCCCGAGACATCCTCGGAGAACGACCCAAGTCCCCAAACCGTGCGGTGACCCCGAATCCCAACCGACTCACCACACGGTGTGGTCACCACCCCGTTTGGGAGCCCCCGAGGTTTTTCAGTCGCGTGCTATTTTTTAGCCCTCCTGGAAGGTCAGGGGACTTGAGCCTCCACAGCAGGCCGGCTCGAGCCGGGGCCCGGGCCCTGGCGCGACACGGCCTCGGGCGGCTCTGGCCGGGGCTCCTCTCTTTCCCTGCAGAGGTCTAAAGGATGCTGCTCGGCCTCCCTCCTGCTGCGCCCCCGCTGTCGCGGCGCATGCCCCC